TTTAAATTTATCTAAATTATTTAAAGTTTAATAATAATTAATACTATCAATTATAATTTTTTTTTATTAATTAAATTTAAAAAATTTGTAAAATTAAATTTAATTTATAAAATAGATTAAAAACAATTAGAAACAAAACAAAATAATTATTTTTATAGTTGATTATAAAATTGTATCATAAATAAACAAATTTTAATTTTAAGTTGATATTTTAATTATAGATAAATTATATAGAAGGATTTTAAAAAATTAAGTAAGAAATTTTTAATTAAAATTATATTTAATGCATTTTAATCTAATAATATCAAAAACTAAAAATCTTAATTTTGTTAAAAAATTCCTAGAATCTGATTTTTTTAGCAATCAATCCATATGAATAATAATAATTTTACATTATTTTTCTCATAATACTTTAATAAAATAGGATATTCTAATTTAAATAAAAATATAAAAAAAGTTAATAATTTGGTAATAGACTAAGTATTTTAAAAATGTTATATATTATTAATGTGTAATCTTTTTAAGTTGTAACTGTTAAATGCAATATAAAAGAATTAACTCTTTTATAGTTTACATATAATTCTAATCAGTTTTATGCTAAACTTAGTTATTTTACTACTGGTTTTATTAAATCAAATTGAGTTTACTAAATATGAGTAGCTTTATTCATAAATTGAAATTTACATAGTAACATAAAGAGTTTTATGATAGAAAAATAAGAAATATTTTATTGAATAGAAAGAAAATAAGAAAATAATACAATATAATAAAAATAAGAAAAAAAGAATAAACAAGAGGAGTATATGAGAGAAAGAGTAGCATTACGCTATCTTTTACAAAAAAAAAATTTTTATACAGCTATCAGTCTGTCTTTTTTAAATTATAAAGAGCTTGTATTTATATCTATCTATTACATATATTGATATATTAAATATATTAACTATATTAATTATATTAAATATATCTGATATATTAAATATATTAACTATATTTTACTTATTAAACATATTTAATATGTTTAACATTTTTGACATTTTGTATTTCGTCATATATTTGCAGATCTGTAATTGTTAAGATCAATATTCAGTTACATTTACTCCCTTCTTAAGATTTCTGTTCTAACAGAAATTTTCAAAGTATGATTGGAAAGATCTTAGTATTTATTAGATTTAAATCATCTAATTTAGGTTAATGTTAGAAAGCAAATATTTAAAATTTGTTTACTTCTTAAGTTTTCAAAAAAAAAAAATATATACAAGTTGAATATTGGTAGTAATATGCAATAATCATTTGACTTTAAAGCGTCTTTTATATGAGTATTATATTATTATTATTTAGTAATTGTTTTAAAAAAAGTATTTATTAAAATTTAGATATAGTTTTTCATATATCATATTTTCAAAAAGGCTTGATAAATGCGTTTAGTATAAAGTATATTCTCTATATAGGGTTTTAGTAGTTTAAGAGGTAAGTTTTAAACTGAAATTCTTTATAATTCTTGTAGGATGAGATCTTCAATAACAGTACTTATCATTTTTTCTTACAGATTTTTATTTATCTAGACTTTATATTTATAATATTATATTTGCTGATCTATAACGATAATCTGAAGTTTCCAATTGGTTCTTTTAAGATAAAGTTTAAGTTGATTAGTATATGTAGGATTTTTCTAATTTGTCTGTTTAATATTCGTAATTTATATATATTAAGTTATATAATACTATAAATGTAGAACAGTCTATTAAATTTATTCTTAATTTATCTTTATATACATGTGATCATAAAATATTAAATAAAAGTACTTTATCTCTAATTTAATAATCTATACCTTTATGTGTTTAGTCGTAATATTTCTTTTGCCTTTATTATTATTATAAAATATTCTGTTATACATCATATCAATATTGTTACAATTGTGTTGTTAATAAATGATGATATTATTCTATTATTTGTAACAAATTTTATATTATAATAGGTCATGATACTTAAAGATTTATAAGTAATACAGTATATCATCTATATAGTAACTCAAAAAGTTTATATTTAGTTATTTTCATTTGTGTCATGCAATATGCAAATAAGGCTGATGAAAGATATACATCCCATTCTCTTTGATATTACTCAGCATACTTAATCAAAATAGTACATAAAGTCTGATTAAAACATTTAGTCAATCCATTTGTTTGTGAGTGATAAGATAAGGAAAGACAGTATTTTATTTCAATAATATGTAATAATACTATTATTAATTCATTAAAATGACATAGCTCTATTAGTTAAGATTTTCTTTAGATCCTATATCTATACACGATTTCTTGAAAAATAAATTGTACTATAGTTTATATGATGCAATCAGATACTATAGCAGCTTTAGCCCATTTGGTGAGATATTCTATAATAATAATGATATATCTGTTATCTTGCTTTATTTATAATAGTGGTCTTATATAATTAGTTCTAATATGATTGAATAGTTATTCAACTGAAATTAGATGTAAAGGCTCTTATCATTAAGGTATTTCTTGTCATTAGCATATGTTACATATTTTTATTCATTCCTTTACTATGTCATACATCTTTGATCAATAATATTTATGTACTAATTTGTTAAAGGTTATATATCACGTTCTAAGTATCTTTCTAGAGATTCATTGTGAATATTATATAAAGAGATTCAACTTTAACAGTTAACTGCTTTACTCAAGCAAAATGATGATTTATTTGCAAATGACCTATCTCAACTAGGACATACTAATATTAAAATATATTATATATCATTAAAAATAGATATGTCAATACATCAAAGAGCATATTAAATTGCTCCTTCTGAACAAGATTTTATTAAAGAATAAATTGATACAACTATTAGAAAGTTCTTAGACTTCTTCTGTGATTTTAGTAAAAAAGAAAAATAGCAAATTAAGATTCTATATTAACTATTAGAAACTTAATAGTGTAATTTAACAAGATTGTTATTCTCTCTTATATATTGATGAACTTTTAGATATATTCAGTAAAGCTAAATACTTTATAATACTTGACTTGACTAACAGATACTGGCAAGTTAGTATAATACCTGAGGATCAATAAAAGACTGTATTCATTATTAATCATGGGTTATATAAATTCATAGTCATACCTTTTAGCTTAACTAATATGTTAGCAATATTTTAAAGGCTTATAAATAAGGTCTTTAGAGAAGAAATTGAAAAATATGTAGCTATTTATCTAGATGATATAATTATCTTTTTAATAACCTTTAAAGAATATTTTACTCATCTTAAAAATATTTTTCAATGACTAAAAAAAGCTGAATTGAAATTAAAATATGATAAATGTGAATTTGAAAAGCTTAAACTTGCTTTCTTAAGATATATTATGAATAGACAAGAAATTGCTCTGGATTCCTCTAAAATTAAAAAGATTAGAGATTTTCTAATACATTCTAACATTATTGAACTTAGTGAATTTTTAGGATTCACTTCATATTATTATCTATTTATATAAAACTTTTCAACTATTGATGTACCTCTATATCTCTTACTTAAAAAAGAAATGTTATATCAATGGACTGAAATCCAATAGGTATTCAAATATCTAAAGAAATATCTCATTATAGCTCTTATTCTTATTTATCCTGATTTCTCTAAGAAATTTCTATTATTTACTAATAGATTATATATAAGATTAGATACTATTTTAACTTAATTGGATAATTAGTAAAAAGAACATGTAGTTGTATATGCTAGTAGAATTCTTAATAATACTGAAAGAAATTATGCATTTACTGAATTTGAGTATCTTACTGCTATTTAGATTATAGAACATTTTAAGACATACCTTCTTCATTAGCCCTTTGACCCAATATGTAAAATTTACGTGCACAATGTGCACATAAGCATATCGAAAATTTTTTGTGCACAAATGACATCACGAAAATGTGCACATTTTGTACATAAAAAATTTTTATTTTGTACATTTTGTGCACATTAATAATGCGTCATATATCGAGCACATATTGCGTACATATTGTGTAATAAAAGCTATTTCGTTATTCTTTTTTGTAGGCTAGACTTTTTTATAATGCAAAACTTCTCTTTTATAGTTTTGAAGTTTGGACAACTGGATTAACCGACTTAAGTATGTAGAAGAGAGTTGGTATTAATTTTGTTAAAGGAAACATAATAATATTTTTCTTTTTTTCTTTAGAATGCCAGAAAACTTCTTTTGTAGGAACACTAAACTAAGACGAACTGAACAAATAAATGAGTGAATGAGGATGTGTGAATAGGAGTGTGTGAATGGAGGTAGTTGTTAATAAGAAATATTTCTAATATTCTTTCTTTTTGTAGAATGCCAGACTTCTTGAGCAAATAAACTTCACAGTAAATATAATTGAGTTAGTTTGTATGGTAGGTGTAATAATAGTATTGTGAAATAACTCTAATACTATTTATTTTTATTTAGTTTCTCGAATGGAATTGTGGGGTTATAATAGTAATTTAATAAATCAATGATCCAGTTATATCAATTCAGATTCAGAACAGTTGCCGAATTTTTTGGAACACTTTTTTTTCTTATATTTTTTTCCACACATTTTTTTTTACATATTACTCACTTTAATTTTAATAAATAATTTTTTTTAGTGATTTTAATAAGTTTTTGATTAAAAATGTCACAACAAATAACAAATTTTTTCACATCTGTTGACTTAACTGATACTACTCCCCATCTACACCACAACCCAATTCATCACATACTCCTAGACGTAGCCCTTGCAATCATGGTAATAATAAAAAAAATTACAATATACCAAAACAAAAAAGAAAAAATCAAAATCCTGATCGTTTAAAAAAAAAAATTTAACTTTTAAATCATCTTGGCAAATAGGACGACCTTGGTTAGAACATCAAATTATTGACAATAAAAATTTTATGTTTTGTACTATTTGCCAAAAAGCAAAAGGTAATAGTTTATGGGTAACATCAGGATGTGATACTATGAAATTAGAATTTGTTAAAAGACACAAAAATTCAGTTAAACACAAAAATTCTTTGCAAATTCTTAATTCAAATCAAATTGGTATTAAAGAAGGCATAAATCAAATGTTAGGAATGGGCATGAATAGTATAGTTACTCAAATGTGCAATATTTATTTTCTTACTTCACAAAATATTACTATTAATATTTATCCTGATTTAGCTAATTTAGTTAATTATCAAAAGAACATCCTACTTCTATAGTTAGTGATATTTCTTTACAAGTACTTCGACCACCAACTTTATCACAGTTTAAACAACAAAAAACATCTAGATCTAATTATGCAACATATACAAATAAAGTTAGTGGACATGAATTATTAGTATCTTTAACCTGCCCAATTGAAGAAGCAGTAATTAATGAAATAAAATCATCATCATGTTGGAGTTTATTAGTAAATGAAAGTAATACAGTATCAAAAGGCGAAAAATCATTAGCTCTAGTTTCAAAACATATGGTTAATAATATTTCAACCTTATGCTATTTAGGAATTACTGCAGTATCTAATATTTCTGCAAAATTATTACTTGAAGCAATTGATTCATTTATTTTACAAAAAGGATTACCTACAAATAAATTATATCATTTAGGAAGTGATGGGGCGTCAAATATGACAGGTTTGTATTTAATTAATAATTTATTAATTAATAATTTTATAATATATTAATTAGTAATTAATTATTTATAGGAGTTAGA